AATCGAAAGCAACATGGGCATATAAATGATTCATAACATATCAGAAGATTCAGAATTTCACAGAAGGAAAATATATTAGGCTTTGAGGAAAATATCACAATTTTCTTCTGATAGAAATATAATTCTGAATAGACTACGCGATAGAAGTGTTGATTTAACTATTAATAACAAGGAAAAAATGATGATGAATCAGGATATGAAAGTTAAGTCTAAATTAAAATTTTAAAAATTAATCAAAAATTTGCTCAGATATTGGAAGCTTTTCCAAATTTGGTTCACCATGCATCTGGAACGACGATTATCATCCATCCGATGCTGCATATGAAAAATACAACAGCTTACAAACATACCGTTATTATGCCATGTGGGGTGCTGCAATATTATATCTTTTGGGTTTGGTTGTGTTTATTATTTGTTCAATATTTGGTATGGTTGGCTGTTGGCGACGAAGCACAAAAATGGTTCTTACGACTGCATTACTTATGCTTTTTTCAGGTAACTTCCATAATTCTTTCTTTTTTCAATTTAATGAAATTTTTACAATCAGTTATATATTACTCATTTTATTACGGTAATTACAACTTTATTTCTTCCATATTTTCATTTTAGAGTGATTTTTTTCATGTTATATTCATTCTAACATGCTAAATGTTTTGATCACTTTTCAAAAATGCCTTAGAATTTCATTTCTAACTGGTCACTTACAGTTACTAATTTCTTTTATAGCTTAAGGGTAGCTTAAGCATTTGAAATTCTTTGTTGCGTTGTTTTCCTACATCAGTTACTTTTTGCACATTACTGTCAGATGCAATGGGTTAATTTGTATTTAGGGTGCATCAGTTCTTTTTATGAGATTCATTTCATATGACTATCAGTTACTGGTAACTATACACCACTTTATTTTACTAAATATGATGGGGGCGCAACGCATCTCCATTGAATAATAATAAGTTACATCTTAAGTGAACTTTACTTTATATGACTTAGCCATAGCTACTTCATACCGCGATGAAATGTCTAGATGGAATTCCGAGAATTTCAAGATGAAACAACGCCTTGAATGTTTTCGCCTAACCATTACAACGGTCTGCATTAAAAAAAATTCCAATTTCGGAATTCCAATTTTGGAAGTGACCAAACATGATCAAATTTTCTGGGATAGCGATTGTTAAATTGGAATAACGAATTGACCTAAATATAAAATTCACCATGTCGATCTTCAATTCAGCATCAATCACATTTGAACTTAATCAATCTAATGAATAACGGAACTAACTTTTTACAGAACCATTATTGCAAACACACAAATGAATAGTTATGAGAAGGTGAATGCACATGTTTAACAAGTTTGACTAGTTCTAGTAGAAAATCGATTTGATATCTATGATCTTCTAGAAGTTCCACGAAACTACATAGTCTTAAAGTTAATTTAAAAAATTTGAAACAGTAAAATCTGAAAGCATAGCATCAGATCAGAAATTGTAATTTTACCAAATAGCATTCATATTTACATCGAGGATCATATATATATATAATATTCAGCAATAAAATTTATAATGTTTTTTTTTTTCATTTGCAAGATTTAGTTTAGTGAATGAAACTTTTGAAACTGTATGAATTTCAGTAATGTTCCTTGCTGGTTCAATGGCATGCTGGCATTTGGTGAATTATTTAGAGAGGCATGTACTTGATATGCCGCCTTTTTATAAATCTTGGGAACCGGTGAGCTTATCAAATGATTGAAATAATGTAGAAGAAAATTGTGATTTTAATTTTTATAAGAATGAATAATAATTTCTAGTAAATAAACAGAAGAAAAAAATTTTGCAGATTTTGAAGCAAGGGACACGATTCAGCTATAGTTGGTCCTATGTAGTATCATGGGTTGGTATTGCATTCATACTACTTGCATCAACATTCATGCTATTATCCTACAAAAAAATCAAGGTTAATTTCTATCATTTTCTAAAAATTTTATGAACATTTCGACATTGCTCGTCCATTTCTCGAATTCCAATTGACATTTGGAAACTGTTGGCATTTATTAGTAGCGTCTATTAACGGCTAAAATACCTTCGTAATATAACGTACGTCATTTTTTTATTTGTTCCTTGTGTCTTGTTTCTCTTGTGTCTTTCCTTGTGTCTTTATTCTCATTCTACGCATATTTATTCATTTCAATATCATTTCATTCATGCTAATAAATAGAAATATTTGTTGATCAAAGGGGAACAGAAATAGCGTGCACATATTTATACATATCACCGTTCTCATCAACCACTTAGAAAATATTGTAAGATACTGATAAATCATCATCATCATTAATTCATCCTTTACTTTGTTCAATAAACTAGTACATGCATGGATGATAACATGCGGTATTTTGATCACTCTTATATGGCCTAATGTCCATTTTGTATCTGTGGTTGATGTAGGGCGGTTTCCATTTTCAAAGCTAAAATTGTGATCTTTGCGGTATATAGAAGGCCTTGAACTCAACTGATATCGACGATGCTCAAAAATTCCACCACATATGCCCGCAGGTTCAACATTTCAGTCTCTCCTCTCTCCCTCTCTTTTCTCATATTTTGTATCACATTCAATCTGTAAATATTCTTTCTTATCTTAATGTCTTTCTATAATTTCTTTACAAGAACAAGATGAAGAAAATAATGGGACAAATTGCACATATACATATTACACATGCATACTACCGGGGGTGACCATGAAATTATATTTCTATACGAAATTATTCCCATCTCGCCATCTTATCCTTCTTTCCTTCTATTCTCATTGTCACTTATATTGCTACTGCAGTATTAAATCTCATAAACCAATAATAAATATTAACAATGAAGCTAAACAGAAGCAAACAAACTGAAAAGAACTTTTGCAAACAAAAGGTTATTTATAGTTTCTTAGCTATTTTTTCTGTTACTTTCTCTCAGTTTCCTCCACTCGATGAAACAGAATTTCTTCATTTTATGATCATTAAAGATCCTTTTTTTCTTTATTCAACTTTTCACTTCACAAGTAATTATCTTTTTATCACAAGTAATTATCTTTTTTATTCCCATTGTTACTTATATTGCTATTGCAGTATTAAATCTTTTGGAAGATTTACTTGAAAAATCCACGTTAAAAATACAATACCAAGTTTCGAGATTTGAAATTGATTTGCCAAGTAATTCGAACTTTAGACAACAACTTCCAAAAGTAAAAAATGTAGTTAATTTGAATCATTCTCTATTATAACGCTTCATTCTTTCCACATGACCTGATTCAATTTCCCAATATACGATTCACTCATTCCACAATTTTCATTCCACTTTAAACTCTATTTCTTGAATTCGTTTCATCTCTTTTCCATCTCCTACTTTCTGCCAATATTATTCTGAGATTCATTCAGAAGTGATTAATGAATACAAAAGTTTTCAAAAAATCTCAAATCACTTTATTGACATCGCGATGCCAACAGACTAACGTTTCAACTTGATGAATTCTAAAAAACTTTCAGGAGGAGGAAGAACGAGCTTTTGAAGCAAAACACGGCGCATATATGATGCCAAATTATTACGACAAGTCTTCAGCAATGGTGCCATACGGATATGGTACATATGGCGGTTATCCAACAGCATATCCGGCTGCATACTATGGCCAGTATCCGGTAGGTACTGGATACTACGGATATATGACATATGGTCGCTGACGTCAGTAAAAATGATGAAAACATTCCGTATCGATATTCTCAAGCACTGCTCCGTTCCATCCCGAGCACTGTAGCATTTTTAGATATAATAATGCCTCCAAAAAACAAGTAGTTTATCTGCCATTAGTAAAAATTTATCATCCCCAGATCCCCAAACCCATTTTAATTTTGCAGATGAATACAAGAGTGTATTTTACGGATACCACATAAAAGCGTAAGCTGGTAAGATTAGTTAAGAGCTAATTCATTTATATTTCATGCCACTTTGCTCAAACTTCGTTATTAACCATTCAGTTCATTAATGACATCAATATTATAAAACTGAATCAATAACAGTACGGGTTAACTTGTGAAAATGTCTGATTTTGTCGGTTAAATGATTAAACCCGACAACAGAGTCCCGAGTTTCCAACGTACCCTCCCTATGTTTCAAGTTTTTACTAGGCAAATCCTTGACCTAAAAAATACGAGAATGGAATCAGAACCTAGTCTGGGATTCATGAAAGGAATTATATGAATCAAAAATTTGAATAACTGAAAAGAATTTGTCGGACCACAAGCCTATTTACTCCGTTATTATGATTGTTATCAAAACAGTTCGTTTGTTCATGATACATTGCTAACATCAACTTGTCATTACATACTCGTCCATCAGTCTCTTCTATAATGTGCCCAGAACCATACAATGACACCCGTTATTCACACTCAATTCTTGCAACAAATCGGTATCAGTCACATTCATCTACACTGTAATATATTCACACTTCATATCTTAGATGTGAACAGCATCTGCACAAAGAACAAAGGATACGGCATAACCTTTGAATTTTATTGTTGGAGTTTTATTTTTTTAGTACAGATAGATTTTGATCCACATCACGATAATGATCCAATACCAACAATATTCACTATTAAAAAAATTCCGTAAAAACTCATTTCCTATTAGGAATTGAAAACCACGAACAAATACAGGAAAATTAACAAACAAAACAACCAGAAAACAATATCTTAACGATGAAGTTCTCATTACTAACAATAATGAATAAGTGATTGCAAAATGGCGTAATCTTTTAAAACTTACAAATGCTTTACATAAGATTCAAAGCACAGATTTCGAGTGTTTGAAATGATTACCAGTGTGTCCAGAATTCTAAACATATTACAAAAATATATTTAATGAGCTAACAAGATAACACGAAACAATGAACATCTATTCACAGCAATATCTCTTTGCTTCAGCCTTTTACAAATACAGTTGCAAAGAGCCGTTTTCCACCTCGCACATTAACAATTAATTTGCGTTCACTTCCTTATCTTTTCCAGTATTACTGTTAAAAGCTTTTTTACTATGCCAACTCTCTGCAATATGTTCGTGTTAAAGTAACCTATTCAATTCCTTGCTTATTGCTTAACGAACTTTTTCGAAAATAATCTTAAAAGAGTAAATCAAACGTATTAGAACTCTTGAACCATATCTCACTCTTTAAATCATATGTTTCTAATTTATATATTATGATAACTTTGGTTTTTTTCGTGCTGCTTGCACTATTTTGAACAATTATAGAAATCATTCTGCGCGAAAAGAAATTTAGCTAAGGATATGAAAAATATAAATAATTTACCTTTGTATTTCATATGCTTCGGTCGAAGCTGTTTTGGAAGTGCAGGAGTATATGGATAAACTTTAACGATTGTTCCTACAGCTTTTGTCCGACCTTCACGAAATACCATACGACTCCCAACAGATAGATACTCAGGATTTTTGATGAATTTAAATGTTACCATATCACGGTCTCCCGTTCGTAATACTGTTTTTGTCATATGTATTATGGTTGCCGTTTGGCGAATCGAGCCAATATGCACTAAAAGTAGAACCACAAATGAAATATACATTTTCCAACTCGAGAATGGTAATTTAGAGTTTAAAACTGCGGCTTATTAAAATAATATTATCGTTCTTCCTTAGTTCCTCGAATCGATTATCAAATTTTCAAGAAACTGCTATAATATTTTGACTATTTAAACCTAGGCAATATTTGACTTCAAAAACATTACTATTTTGGTGCAAAATGATAATCAGATAAACAGAATAAAAGACTGAAAATATACCCATTGCTTGGTAATTTTCGGCAATTGTTGTCGGATGATGAAGAATGAGTATTTCAGCATCAAACTGCACTGAGGAAAATATAACCATTTTTGTAGAAAGTAACACCATTCCTTTTCGTACTTCCTTTTTACTCAACTTTCTACATCATGCGTTCAATTAAAGATGTTTCAGTTGAAAATTACGGTATATAAACCTTTCGCAAATATAAGTTCCGAAAGTGCGGTTTTTCGGAAGATAGAAAAAACAAGCACATTAGCTTCACAAAAATGCAAATTTTACCTAATGGAAAATGATGCGGTTTGGCCGCACCGTATTTTCGATACCGGCATTCGTTTTCGATGAATGGACTTTATTGGAATCGGAATGAATTCTCCGTAAGGATTCGGTCCAATTAACATTGTGTCGTTAAGCGAAATCATACCTAAAAACACCATGATTATTCCATAACGTATTGTCAGACAATAATGAAATGAAATACTTTTTATTGCAATAGATTAGAAACTTTCACTCGGCTCAACAAGAAATAGCATAACTTACCAGCTATACATGTGCCTGAGACCACGGTACCTACACCATCCACCCAATATACATCATCTATTTGGAATTCGGCTGGACTATCCAAAGAAAACTTTCGTCGAAGTGGGATAAGATTGAAGAAGGCGGAAAGTAAGTCCAAATTGGTACCGGCAACGTTCGATATTTGAAAAATGGGACAGACCCTAAAAATGTTAGTTGCTCAGATGAAAATCGAACTTGACAATCGCTAAGAATGGACACACAGGAAAGTTGAAAAACTTACTTTCCACCACTAAAATTACTAGCAGCATGAACGACATCTTCCAAAGTCTTGATAACAACTGGTAATTTCCGTGCTCCGGGACTTTTCATCAATTTATCCAAATTCTTCATCGTTTCAGACAAAACCTTCAACAATAACAGATAGATTTATGAACAACTTCACGAATTATGAAGTTGGTTATATACAACATCAATTACACTGCTATACTAAGAGGAATATGTTTTACAAACATCGAAAACCGTGGTAAAGAGAAAAAATGAAAATTGAAACAAAACGGAGACATAAAAATTAAATGAAATAAATTTCACCCGTTCAGGACACATATCGATTTTCGTAACAACGATAAACACCGGTACATTGAGACACAAAGCAAGCGATAGATGCTCCTTTGTCATTCCAATAATACCAGCATTCGCACCAATCTTCAGTTGTGAAAAATATTATACGGTGCATGATACATTAAATAATATTACTGCATTTCACCATAAATTACTAAGCTTTAAAGCCGTAGTGATCTACATTACTATTATGCCCCTGTTAATTTCATATTCAATTCCATCATAAAGGAAACCAGTGTTATCCAAAGTAATGGATATTGAATGATATAATATATAATACACGAAGGAAGAAATACTATTTTCAACATCGCTTATGACTTTAATGACTGCCAACAAGATATTAATTAATAGAATTTACAATAGGGCAATATATACGAGGCAGAGTCCGCTTCTTACCCAAAAATGAAAAAATCTAATTTTCATTCCATTTTCAAGTTTTATCATTACCCTTATTTTTTTTCCAAGCTTCTTCACCCTCACAGATAATTTTCATATAATAGCAAAATCGGGCATTTTTTGATTAATTGAAACTGAAGGAAGCTTGCTTTAGAAAAACATAAGGTGCTCTCACACTCTACAGAGAATTAAAACGGAATAAGAAAAATAGTATACCATCAGCATTGTGTAATCAGGAACGTGTCCAGTCATTCCAAATATTGTTGTTTTCAAATACTTTTCGTGCCCTGCCAGATCAATGAAAGTGATCACCTAAAGAAAAAAATGAAAGAATAAAACCTCATCAGAACGTATTAAATGAAAAATCATCCCTGAACTTCAAAATTATAAAAATACCTTAGCGGAATCATGACAAATGGTAACCCAGTCAAGATTTCCACTGTGCGAGTCGGGTTTATTGACAACATTACCATTAATATCGAAACCTAAGATGTCGTTTCCTACGGATGAAGTTCGACCTGACTCAAATTCATGCTTGTGCCTGAAAGTTACACTGTGAATGAAAGTACAGTATGACTAAGTAATATTCAGACTGACTCTAGACAATTGTGATAACGTACTACTAAAATAAATTTACCGGAACAACTTTTGTCGAGCTTGTCCACGGCCGTCGTCCAAAATGCTGTAGGTTAGTACGCCCAATAACGTCGATTTCCCTGCGTCCACATTACCTACAACCGCCACGCGCACCTGAAGCTACATATAAACTGACCATCGTAGTGCTTAAAAGTTCAGATTTGCTTAAATGTTGAAAGAAAAATAAACCTCAATAAAATCATCAGGGTCTACTTCCTTTCGAACGAGATGAGTACGTGTATAAAGGCTGCCTTGCTGTTTGGTCACTAAACGTGTTGATACTACTCCAGTTCCCTCCAAAAGCGCTATGTGCTTCTTTTCTGACAATTCTAAATCATCTTTCGATAGACCTGCAACAACCCCAAAAATTCAAGTAATTGTAAACATTACTATTAAAAATCAAATAGCTCAAATGCTCATTCAAACAATTCATACCTCGTTTTGTAGTATCTTCAGCTGAAACGCCAAGATCAATGACCGCTTCACCTTCACCGAGTACCAACATCGACTGGACAAAATCACGATATCGCTCTCTTTTAGTATGATCTTTACTGTCTGTTAGCGATAAACCGACAAGGAAATCCTTTGTTATCACACACTGCTCCTCTTTATCTCGTTCATCATTATCATCTGTTAATCCAATAATCAGTAACTATTCCATACATCTTGTTGTATTCTAATGAATACTCGAGAGACAATATATACCTTCGTATATACCATAGAAGCTTACAGGAGAATTCAGCATCGCCATCATCATCGTCGTCTGCGAATAAGCTTGCGGCAGCTGCAGCACTGCTTTTCATCGGATACGGAGTCTGACGATAACCTCAAATGAACAAACTGTGGTAACCGTTCCTTTCATTACTTTCTCACCAAATATCGAAATCGATATCTGTATCAGCAACAAGCTTTCGCTAAAAAACCTGTCTGAAAGGTATCTAGGATCTCAACTCTGTTTCTCACCCTTTCCTCATACGAAGGCCTTCTTAATTAACTGCCCATTTTCAGTTTTCAACACGAAGCAAGTCCATTTCACCGTCACACCAATGTTGTTAACCTTTGAGGACCGACCATGAAACTGAAACATCCATCTCTCTCCTCCTGCTAAAAAATCCTATACCTAGAGAATTCAGATAACCTTCATGTCTCTCACATTACTGTGCTATTCTTCATTCTGCCAATCTGTAATGTTTCGTCAATTTACCTTCTCTTTCCGCTCTTAGTCTCAGATGTAACACGATTTTAGTTATTCTGGAGTTATGAAGTTGATAGGTGACGGTGACAGTATGGGATCGGAAAGTCAAGCGTCGGGCGGGTGATTAGTAAACCTGAGAAGCGTACTACTCTATGTCATGCTACTAATACATTCATTGTTCATTGTATTGTGTTGCTTTATACTAACTATATTGTCTTTGTGTCATTTAATGTTGTGTCAAGCAGCAGTGTGACAGTAGCATAGATTTTCGAATTATGGATCCCTCAAATTTTTTTGCAATGTATTAACTTTATTATTCATTTTAAATAATATTTTGACTTTTTACAGGGCAATAAACAATAAATGATTATGAATGAAAATCGTAGCATCGAGGATGAGTTGGCTCTGTTAGTTTATTCATATTTTGTGCTCACACTTATTTAGTTATTCGAGTTAACCAGCAGGTAAATTCAATTAAATGCAACAGTTTGACGATTCGTTGATTAGGTTTCAAAATCCAATCCAGTGCCATATCGGTACGTAGTTGTACTTCTCAATATGAGACACACCGTAGTAAATGATTAGACATTCGTGATGCACATTCTATTTTATCAAGAAAATTTTTATTTTGCTAATATTTTCAAAAAAGAAATGCAAGTTTCTTATAAGTAAGTTATTTCATACATCAGGCATTGTGAACTATAACACACCCATTGTTGGGATTTAAACTATTTCACTATTAATAAACCCATGCTTTACGTGTTGTTCTTTTTTTCAGGTTTGAAAAAGAAATATCATCTGTAGATTCACATACTCGAACTCCAAGTACCCTTGCAACAAATGCACCTGTGGCTCAAGCTGATCCTTCGCGAACTTCTCCAAATGCAACAGTTTCTCCTATCCTTAATAACATTTCTGCACACCCATCAGTGCAACCATCCATCGGTCCCGCTATTCGACCTGAACCAAGGCCCTTTATGGGTCCTTTCATCAGCAGTTCCGTAATAGCGAATTCCGTAAATCCTTCAGTGCGTCCAGCACCTCCACCGTAAGTTTACTTTGCATATTTTTGTCAAAATTTTCTCAGTGTAATCTGCTTCATATTTCTGACACATCATCATTTCATACTTAATTATCCTCGTCTATTATATTCTATTATAACGTTTTTGAACACCTTTTTCATATGTTCAAGCCAGCATATTCTCTTCACACAACTTCTATTTTTCAGCTTTTTACCTCATGTAATGATGCGTCAAGGTTTTATTCCCCAGACAGATTTAGCCATGCGATTCATACCACCTCAGGTGAAATTGTGGATTATTTATTTTACCATAATTATAATGATATCAAATTCATATTTCTGGATGTAGAAAATTCTATAATATCTAACTGTGCACCTTAATATTTCCTTCTAAATTTCAGCTTCGATTACCATTAGTTGGTTTTATACGTCCACCAGTGCATATACCGCCTCAACCAAGTGTTCTTGAATCGGGGCCTAGTTTGTACGAGGGTGCGATGAGGAGGGATGATGGCAAAGATGGGGAGAAGGATAGAGAGGCCGGAACCGGTTTGAAAACTCAGGTTATCTTTTTATCTTAAATACCTATAACCTGATCATTTAGCACATTAAACGTAATATTTGACTACTAGCATCATTTTTAAAAAATTATTCTTTTAGAAAATGTGCTATCTTCGCATCTTGCATTTACTCTTTCAGTTGTGCTCTAATGAAAGACTGGACATAACTAGCAATTCATGATAGTTTTATTTTGGTTATTTAGAATTCGAGGTTACAATTGGTGGAAGTTAATAGTGCTATCCTTTAGGTGCTAACATCTGACATAGAAGCCATTGCACAGAAAATGCATGCCGAATCAGCTCATCGATCTACTTATATTGGACAAGTTATGCGGGGTGAGAAAAAAATGAAACGATTTTTGCGTTGCGGTGGTGGGCAGGTAATAAAGATTTAAGATAAATGATGGTTTCTTTCTTTACTCAGGTTTTGTATTTTTACACGCAATTAAGCTAATCTTTGTTTTTTTTTTTTCATTAACAAGTAATAGATTTCTTTTTTGATCTTCAATCTCTCTGTTTTAGGTTTGGGAAGATAAGTCGTTGGCAGAATGGGATCCAAATGACTTTCGCATTTTTTGCGGTGATCTGGGAAATGAAGTATCGGACGAGTTATTGGCAAAAGCCTTTCGTAAATATCCTAGCTTCCAAAAAGCTAAAGTTATTCGAGAAGCTAGAACTAATAAATCGAAGGGCTATGGATTTGTTTCCTTCAAGCATCAGGATGTCAGTTGTTTTGAATTATTCATTTTGCAGACTTTCATATAGGCTGTTGCCGACTAATTTTAACTTTCCCATATTTGAATTTGGCATTTTGAGATTGTTCGCTTTTAGGATTTTGTTCGTGCTTGTCGTGAAATGGATGGGAAGTATGTTGGGAACAGGCCAATAAAGCTGAGGAAAAGCAATTGGAAAGAGCGAAATATGGATATAGTTAAGAAAAAGAGAAAACAGAAACAAAAACTTGGTTTAGCTTAAATTTTTCTATGTTTTTCTTTATATGAATTTTGATTTCCTTATTTTGTTGGAAATATAGTGATAATGCCGATGTGTTGTGTTATTAGCCTATGTCATTATCACTATGTTTTCTGTTTGACGCATCCATATTTTGAGCAACAATTAAGCTGTCCTTGCAGCTGGTAAAGATGTTGCTGTATGCTGTTTAAGTGGGAACCGTTCTGTGTATGTTACAATTGCTTCCCTGATGCTTCTAATTCACTATTGGAAGGTGAATATGGATTTATTACTGTAAATTTTTCCTGATATTAATTTAATGTAGTTTTTCATCTAAGAAGTACTCTGACCCAATGTCAAAATCTTTTGCAATTCTTAAATGAATTTTGGAGACTCAGTGGTTTTCTTTCAATCTTTTTTCTTAGCTAGTGCAGTATCAATTGCTAAGTTATAATGCATTTTCTGCTATGAATGTTTATGTGCGTTTTCTCATGAAACTTTGACCTTAAAGTGCAAATTTTTTTGAAAAAAAAGTACCGGGCGGATATAGTCGAATAATTGGCCAAATGTATGACTCTCTCCAAAAATTGTAAAACCCAAAACGGGTCTTACAATTTTTTAATCGAGCATTCTGTGTTTTTGGCAAAGGGCAGGAGGTTGGTCGGCATTTGATCATTTGTAAGTGCTTGGAAAGTAATTAAGCACTTGCTAACAGTTTTTAGGGCTACTTTGAATTCATAAAACTTTTTTGCAAGTACGTCTTACTACGTTATAGTTACACTCAATATTGATGCAACCCGATAAAGAGCGTGGATGTTTCTGGTGAAGTAAAGTAAGAGCCGAGTAAGAGAAATAACGTAACTGTTTTCGGCCACACTAGTAACGTTTTTCATCGACGAAGTAAAAAAGTCCGACTCCAGTCGAGAAAACTTAGTGGTTGGTTAGTAGTTTTAAAGCACAAATTAAGAACTACATCAGCAGTGGAAATTTGTAGCACTGTTATTGGATATATCTTTTATGATGTAGCACAATTTGTTTATGACAATGACTAGGAGCATAAATTGTATATTTATTTATTTTGATAATAATTTGTTGGATAATCATATGTTCAACTGTCTCATATTTTCCATATTATTGCTTCTGTGTCGCAAAGCTTTTACCCAGCTGCCAGTAGAATCGGGAAATTCCACCAAATGGCTAATTTTCTAAGTATTTATTTCATACGATACATATTTTCATACAAATGCTTGTAAATATAGGCAAGTGAGTACGAGGTTTCAAAGCTTTTTACTGTATTTTAAAGGGCAAAATAAATAGAAAATTTATAATTTTAAGTATTTATTTTTTAGTATGTATAAACATATGCCATAATTTTGCTTTTACCTTCAAGTTTATTGTCACCTTTGTCAAATATATCTGTTCCGATATTTGCATTTTCTAACGAACACATTTTTACTTTTACTGTCTGGTCATTTATATTTTTTGGATAACTATAAGAGCTGGGCAAAAGTAATGTTATGCAAAAAAAGTGGAACACAGTGCTTCGCTCTTATCATTTAATGCAGTATTTTGAATATAAGATTGACATTTCAATTTATGTATAATAAAACTTCAAATTAAGGAAGTGTTCAATTTTACACTTTATAGAATTGTCTTGTATTGTATTTATATTTATGTATTGTATTTATAGAATTGCTCATCCCAAGTTTTTGAATTATTTTGTTAATTTAAAATGGAAGGCAGGTGGTAGAAATGGAGCGTTATTTGAAACCGAACAACCTTATCATTGTTCCCGTTTCATTAGTAAGAATTTACGATTTCAAATGCTTGAAAAAAAACTGCCAGGTATGAATTGCCTCATCGAATAGAGCTAATACTTCCATAAGAGGAGTTAACAAGCATCCAATGATTGATTAACTTATGAGTCAAAAGGAGCGAAGTAGCCATGTAAACTGTATCTATTTAAAACACTTTCTTTTTGAGGGCCAGATTAGAAAAAAAGACTTGCTGAATTCTGTGAAGTCCATAATTGATGTGAGATGCCGGCATTGAAAATATTTCTAATAAATGCTTAATGATTTAAAATCAATACCAGTTTTACATTATTTCTAGTAGGCGTATTACAAACAATGAGAGAAAGATAAGGATTGGATAGGGTAAGAAATAAATATGTGTGTGTGTTTCCACTTTAATTCATTATTTTTGAAAAAATTTCTGTTGGATGAGTTGATTTGTTTAAAATGAAAATTGCATTAAATTCTCATTAGAGCTTTCAGTTATGTTTTAAATGGAACTAACTAAAGGAATGAAATTTAGCACGAAAAACGATAATTAATTCAGCTGCAATTTTGTTACAATAGCGTGGGTAACCTAGGCAACCTCTTCGCTATTAGAATTTTTGAATAGACATTTGCAGACTTCATGATTGACGTAATTCTATGCATAAATTGAAGTCATCAATTAGAAGTCAAATATATATATATGTGAGTATGTGTGTTCATTCATGCATGTGCTTGATGTATTCATTCTTTAATGTCCGCTTATATTGAAATGCTCGGTAAAATTACAATTTGAGTAAATGCATTTACATTAGCTGCAGAAAGAGAAATAAGGCATTCCTATAGAAACTAGAATCACCCTTATTCTGCTGACATATCCTCATTGTGTTGTTTATTCATTATTAATATTCCTTCTCGAGCAATATCTTTTCTATCAGGTGAAACCAATCTTTTACACTTTGGTGAAATTATTGTTTATGGCAGTTGTGATTTTTTGCCATTTTTTTTCTGTTTATAGGAGCAATTTTAATTCATAAAATAATTACAACTTTTCGAAAATGAATAAATCGAAATTAAAATAGGCATTAAATGTAATATGAATTAAAACAGAAAGTCTCAGTAAGCAATTTCACTTACATTCTAATCTGTTCAAAATTATATTACAAAATTGCGCTGCGACATTTAAAAAAAATAACAAAATGATCATCAGCAATGAACCTGCACAAATACACATATGCACAAGCAATTATCATTTGATTATTTAGGGCAATTTGTCTATTGGTGGTGGTACTACAACATTGCACATAATGTGCATGAGGCAAGAGTTAATAATTTTAACCTTCAATTCATGTAATCTTAAACATCAGGCTTCATTGAACATACTGTCATGAATTTCTTAGCGAGATATCAGAATATGACATAAATCATTAAAGCCTACTCAGCTGTTGCTATTCCTGTACTCTAGTGAGATTTTCAAATGAAACTTTTCGGTTATTTTAAATGATAACATTCCAATATAAGCTGTTATTATGCCGTAGAGAATGATAACAAGAAAAAAAAATTATTTAAATTAATTTTCCAAGAATAAACTTTTTAAATCCACCCGTACGAAAAAATATATTGTTAGTGTTTACTGAATTGGCAAACTAAAACAGGTGGAAAGGGTAAGATTGCTACTCATTATTGCAATGGTTTGGGTTTTTTCATGTAAATTTTGTTCTAGATATCTTTTTTAAAAATGATTTCAAACAAAAATGTTGAAGACAAAAACGTGATTTTTGTGTTCGGGATAATCCACGTATGTGCTTCTAATGGTTCGAACATACACATGGAATCCTTCAACTCAGTCCAGTTTACAAATCATTGGTAATTTTAATAATGGAGACGAAAAAAAGACAGTAACCAGTTTGCTTCCAACTTCATCGACAAATTTATATTCTACTCAGTGCTTTTCAAATACTTCCATTTATAAGCCAAATTGTAAAAATGGCCAGATAACAAATATATCTACCACTGTTCCCAAAGATGGTACACAAAATGATACAACAGGTAGTTCTTCGGAAGTTTTTTCTGCTGGCAATAATTATATTCAATGCCCACTGCACATGCTACACTCTCAAACAGCTTCATTATGGCAACCTCGTCATCAATCTTTTCCAATCTATTATCCTATTTTGCCTGATTTTCCGGCCAACCCTTACCACTGGAGATCTCATCTCTTTCCATCTCAAATAACGGCACCAATTGTGCTTGAGCAAACAACAAACTTTAGGCCTGCAAATCCATGGTATCTCAGGCCTATCCAAATTGGCAGTAAAGTTTATTATGAACCGGTGAACAGCAGTTCTGCACCTTGTAACAGCCCAACATCAATTGTACCCCATACGGTCGCATCCGCCAATTTGGTATCCATACCAAACAATGCTCGGTTTCAAAATGTAAATTCTTTTCATCGCTGTAAAAATACTTTTTGTTCAGTTTGATCACAACTTTAGATCTCGTCATTGAAATTAAAATGAAAGCGAAAGTACTTTTAGTTTTGTGATTTTTAATTTTTAGCAACATTTGGTGAGTAAATAGGAACGCTACTGTTTTTTAGTCATAATAAAATTTTTCAGGCCAGCTTATCTTACTTACCAGGTACTACTACTATCCCAATGTCTGTTGACAAAATCAATAAACAGAATAAATTCTTGCATTCGGAAGCAGCTGGTATTAATCATTCGACGACTTCTAGGTAATGCTAAACATCTCAGGATATTGTTTTTTTTTTTTACAATCTCAGTAACTAAAGAAACAGATTTTTTGTTACTCTTTCAGTTATTATTATTGCTAAAAATAGCGAAATCATCGTGATTGTTGTGGACATTTATGTCAACCAAAAACTATTCTATTTTTATGTTTAAAAAATCTTCTATTACCAGATTTAGTCCTTTCAGTAATAATGGTTCATTAAATCTACCGTGGACTTTTGGTACTCCTCAACTAAACAGTGGAATTTGCGGAATCCCTTCTTGTCAGACACCTCTCTTGGTAACAAAAGAAAGCCTTATCTTTGATAGGGTTTGTTACTATTTAGCTTAAGTTATGATTAACAAATGTCAGTTTGAGAGGAATAATATTTTGATTAACAAATGTACAAACTAGTGTTTGTCAGAGTTACATTCTTTGTCCAGTTAAGTAGCTTTTTTGTCCTTTTTTATTTGATTCGTGTGATGAGGTGAGGATAAATTCAAGGTCAAAATTGAAAGTAGGAATTACCCCCTCAATAAGTTCAGGGTCGGAATGAAAAGTAGTGACCAGTTTTCAATAAGTAGATTTTTTTCTTAGGTAAAAAATATTATTTGATATTAATTGTTGATAATCTTTGAATCTCGCAGCTGCAATGGTGTCTTTAATATAATTTGCTTTATCTGCCCCATTTCAGGAGGCAAACGAAAGCTCAACTGTTTCTGCTTTTCGAAATACACAGTGCCAAGCTTCTCCTAGTCATCAATGTTAGTTGAACTATTATTTTCTTGACAATTCTACCAAAATAACTAAATATTTTCTACTCCTCATAAGATTGGTACTTAAACTTCCATAAAGAGATTTGAATGCCGAAAAATCACTACCTATAAAGATTTTATTTTCAATTTGGAATATTGTTATGTCAAAAAAAACTAATTGTTGTACAAAATTAATGACATTTGTCTTCTAATAACAGAAAGTAATATGTCATTAAACAATGAGGAAACTTTAAACATTGAAAAAATTACGGTTTTAAAATTGTAAAAATAATCAGGTTAGGAAACTATTCATGTAACAAACTTTCAGTACATGGCAGTTTGTATCAGCATTCTTTATCACATACGATAACACCCTCACAACAACATCAGTGCTATCGGAAAATGACTGCTATTGATTCAACGGAACAATATAAACGTGACTTGCAATTACAAATTGAGCAAAATCGGCATCGTAAAGAGGAAGAACGGCAACGTGAACTTGAAATAGAAAGAAAAGAGATGATAAAGTAAAAAAAAAAAGCTTATACATAGGTAGAAAATAAATAACAATGCCTAATAAAATTCATTACTCGTATTCAACTTATTGCTGGTATGCCATTTTCACCAGGAAAGTCTCTTCACTTGATTTGAAGGTTGCAGTCTTTCTTTTTATAGGTTTGAGGAGTATCGACGAAAAGTACAGCAAGAGATTGAAGAAGAAGAACGTAAGGAAAAAGAAAAAATATTAGCAGTACAGCGTAGAGCAGCTCGAATGCGAGCCTTGCAGGAAGAGGCGGCATTAAAGGTCCGTCGTGAAGCAAAGAATCGTACTGGCCGTAATGTTTGCCGCAGTGTCGGTACGTGTAGTTATCATCATAAAGTCGTGCTGATTCGATTTATTTCAGTGGTAGTATTAGTGATTTCTGTAAGTACTTATACAATACACTACCGCTTTAGGCAAGCTGTTCCGAGTTAAAATTGAAATTCAGGAAATAAAACCTTATTGTTTTCAGAAGGCACAAAGACGGAAGAACGAACATCTTCAACAGCAGAACCAAATCACTTGGAATGGTGGGAGAAAAAAAAAGAACATGTGAATAATAATGCAAAAAGACCAACTTATTCACCGGTCATTCCAACTCTTCGGTTTGTTGTTACAATTCTATCAATCACAATGCATCGGCTATTGTTATCCAAGTGTTGTTATCTCAATATTAAAAATATGAAACGTTTTAATTGCTTCAGATTTCAATCGAAAATATCAGGACTTTTGTTGCTCTCATGAATGTTTGAGTTGAATGCATCTACTTCTCAAAAATCTTTCAGGAAGAAGGATGGAATTTCTGCTGATCTTTCACGGAATACAGCCTTTGAAATATCAGCGAATAACAACAAAAGTGCATCCAGCTGTGTCCCATACGATCGATTTAACAAATCGCATTCATCGTCAAGGTAATGCCTTGACAAAGTAAAAAATATTTTTTATTATATGATAAAGCCAAAAAATGAATCGATAAGTATGAAGGAATATTTTTTATTGTATTTTAACTTTCTTTTGGAATTTGGTCAAATATTTTGTCGTGATGCAAAAAATATAAATAATTGTGAGGTATCAAGCTATCGTGTGGAAAGTTTTGGAAAGCTTCAAATAACTGAAAATGATACTTTCACAGTGCTGATCGATTAGGTGGTCAGTTCAGGGAATGGTTTATGGGTATGATTTTATAAATCTGCTCTATGAGTAATTATTTTCTAAGACAGTCATATTGCGTTCAGGTATGTTAACTTTTGCAGATTAAGTCGACGCTCTTATCATTCATCCCTGACTTCAGGACGGAACAGTAGCTTGGATTTAGCACGACTTCATCGGAAAAGCTCTCACACTCACCAACAAAATGAGTCATTATTGAGTAAAAGTTTACGGTGAGGGATTTGGCCGATTATTTATGATTATCGATACTTCGGTCCAAATTTTCCAAATGTGATCATTTTCACCATTGTCGGAGCAGGAAAATACCTGTTATTGCATAAAAGAAATGGTGAATGTGAAGGACTTACAGACAATAAGAACCACAGTTAATTTGCACATTCAAAATAGGAATGCGACTTTCTATCTTCGCATATCTCAATGCATCTTTCACATTGAGTTTTTTTTTAAATCAAATTTGCAGCAAAGATAATGAAAGCGAAGTCAAATGTGAGGCACGAAGTTCACGTATTTTATGAATCGATGTCTTGGAACGGATGTTATGAATTTTGCTGTGTTTTGTGAGAGAGTTTTGGTTTGGCACAGTCGATGTTTAATGAAAGTTTGATTATTTGATGGAGAGGTTTATTCTTCTTGAAGTTATAACACAATAGAAATATCAACGCGTCAATCGTTTAGTTGGTCTTCTTTGCTGTTGATCAGGGTGAAAGATAATTTGGGACTATTCTTTGAGGTATTAGTTGAAGAGTTGAAGAGAAGAGAGTGTTCGGTGAGACTGAGATCAAGACAAACTGCCTGCCAAAAACTAGCCTGTCTCCAGTAGTCACTAAGTTATTTCTTTCGAGTTGGGCGGTACTCAGTGAATAATATTTATGGTAAAGTAAACAATTGATTTTGTAGTAGGGAACATTAATGGTAAACAAGGGATCATAATCATCTGATAATAATTATGATATTTCTGGAATCCTACATCAAAAGAATGAGCAAGGCAATATCTTATCATTAAAACTTATGACAGACAAGAAATTGTAATCAACATTGTCTAAAAATTGCGGTAAACAATTTCTTGAAGATAAATACAAGGATACTTTTGATTATATGAATAATTTCATATTACAAGTTTCGGGTTTCTGGCACTCTCGACTGAGGAAAAACTAGGTGTATCGGAAGGAAGAGTCTGAGGTTTAGAGCGAAGGAAAGTTAGTTTGATGGATATTTCTTGACCTCCTACTAGGGGATTTTGTAGTAATTCCGTGGAAATAATGACAATTTCTCTTTAGTTTTAACTCTTAATAAAATTTTGACAAAAAAATATTGAATTAATTCGAATTTCAATTTGATGGCAATCAATACAATCAATCCAATTTACCAATGATAATTAATTTCCAAGGCATAGTAAATTCTGCAAGTTCTTGTATTAATTCAGTTTTATCAATTTCATTTTCCAACTGTTCTACTAATTCTTCTCCTTGTTGGCTTAATACATGCCAAGGAATTCCATTCTTTGTCGACGAAACATTGGATGATTGTTTCTTGATTGTGGGCCAATATCTCCAGCTCACTTTGAATTCAACTTCAAACTTATCATTCCTCCTTTGAATTCAAATTTCTTTGAATTAAATCCCTTAGATTACCAAGGAGCGAATGGCAATTTTCCTTCAACTCTTTTAGCTATTTCATTATCCATTTGTAACAGCAGTCTTGCAGTCAACGTGTTGAGTGATAATCATTTAATTAATAATAACAGATTATCTTGATTTTGACAGCTTCTTTGATGCCAAGTTATTGTTAGAATTCTCATTGTAAAATATCGAAAACATACTGGAATTTGCATTTTCTGAACAGATGTTCCTTCTTGACTGATTTCCATCATAAATAACTGATCTCTTGGAGCATTATTTGGATTTACTTCGCAATTCGCCGTATTATCAAGGTCGGAGACTAGCCTTCTTCCATGATACAGGGATATTTGTCCTTTCATTAGAAAAAAGTTGTTGATTGGCATTTCACTCCTAACTATCCATAGGAGTATTGTACATCATTACTTGTCATCCATTTGCTCGGAGAGATTTGATTTAACGTTGTTTCGTTATTTCCTTTTGATTGTCTAAGGCTTTGCAGAATTGCGAGAGTATTGCAGATGTAGTTATTTAATGAGAAACTACTGAAAATGATAATTTGAGAAATACTTTAGTATTCACCGTTTGATGATGTTGCTATATTTTATGACTGGTATCCGTCTGTGAGTCCAGGTATAAACAGTAATCTTGGCTGACTTGATGTTTTCGTATAAGATTTCTTTGCAGTTTCTCCTCTCAGAAATATTAAATGGTATGCCGGATATCCAATTGCAATCTCCGTCGTTGCTATCTGTGTTGACATTATGAAGATGATTGTTATGAATAATAAATTTTTCACTATGGAATTTGGCTTACCTTTCATTCCTGTTGGAGTTTGCTGTTTCTTTATAAAGCTTCTAGCTCGTAATAAAGCTTCTAGCTCGTATAGGTTCTTTTAATTCAATAGTTTCATTTAGAGAATCTTTGGACTCTGTTGACTGGGGTTTTGGTTTTCCTCTTGTTCAATTTTTAAAAAAATTTAAAACTTCCCACGAGATAGCTCTACTAAGGCATTCTCACCCTTTATCTTAACTCATGTTTAGTTTATTTTAGCCAGATTCCACGTACCGCGAGGAGTATTTAGTTCGTTTAATAATATGATTTTTCCTTCAATGGGAGTTCTTGTTTCTATGCTTCTCGGGGATTTGTGTTCCATTTACGCACGTTCCCTTATGCTAGTTAAATATTCATCTTTTCATATTTTCCAGAATATTTCAAGGATTTCTATTGTACTTGACCAATATCTATAAGTTTTTCCTGAGTATTCAACCCATGAAGGATATAATCATCATGGTAATTATTACTACTAGTTGATATTGATAAGGAAGCGTTAGGAGGGATAGTCTATTGGACGTAGATTTTTTACTTTGTAATGTCATATAGGAAGTCATTTTTCAGGTATGCGAGAAACCATACGATATAAAACTGTTCAGCATTTGAGTGTGTGTAAAAGATTTATTAAAATTTAATAAAATTTCAAAGATTTTCAAATGTGCTGATATGTAAAAATTTGATAAAATTGCAGAGTTTACTACGTAAAACTAAGTCGTATGTATACTGAAAGCAGGCATACAAAGAAATCAGCCATAACAGACAGCAAATCATTCTTCGTATATTTTTGCTTGCTTAGGTTACCATTACATAATACTAATCAATTAACAAATGATATTATCTCCAACTAATGCTTATAGGTCTTAAGTGAAAAAGCCTTTTAAAATACAAGTTTGAAAATAACTCGGAAACTTTTGCCAAAAGTGCAGTAGGACCATCAAAATCGTTTACATAAGTTAGTAAACGAATCATTTATATTAGTAGACGAGAATTGAGTATACTTTCTACTTCCACTATAAGGTTTTCAAATCTTTTTCACACAACAATTTCCTGCCTATGGCCTTTCTCAAAGTACTTTTAGTTACGCCGATTACCGCTCATAACTCATCAATTTGATTCTATTGTACAAATGTAATGAATGCATTTGTATAATATTCACTGAGACAAGTTGCGGGAGACCAAAAGATCCTAAAAATGGGTAGCCATTAAGTATAGACGAATTATAAATTATCTGGTTTGTCTAAGAGAAACTGAAACACCTTTTTCTTGCCTATTAGCTAATAAAGCTATTCCTTCATAGATTATATCTGGTAATATATCAACATATACATTAATTATTTTTACTTTGGAAGATCTTATGATTAAGGCTAAATTGTGTTTTGATATATTACCAGATATAATCCAAGGTCTAGATGTTGAATTTTCTTCAGAATTTGCCAATCAAAAAATTTCTGGTGTGTATAATAGCGTTCTAAATAATCAGAGGTAGGTTTAAATAAAAACATATCTGTAACATCTTCATAATAGTTGATTTCGCTTAAATCTTTTTTGGAGTAGAGGAAAAAGGTTTTAATAGCTTTTGATTAAACAGTTTTTATAATTATCAATTATAAAAAATAAATCCTAGATCGACCAGAATTAAGAGAGATATATGTAGCATTATATTGGTTCCCTTAGTCCTTGCAGCATACAAACATCACACGAAATCTCCAATTGATATCCTTACATATTTACTGTAAAATGTGGAACAAGCGTAAACATAATGGTTCACATATACATAACTGGAAACGATAATTCACTTAAAAATTTCCAAAACAACTAAAGTTCTAGTAAAATCCATCTCACCTGTCATAACCTTCACTCAATACTTCAGTATGCCACATGTTCAGATGCTACCCCAACGAACTAACTGATCCTCTGATATGCAATGTTTGCATTATGCGGTTATGTTTCGCGCTTAGCTCGGCGTTTAAAATTCCAGTTCCTCTTTCGGCGCGTATATTTTTCTGAACTGCATGAAGTATCTGATAGTGTGGTAAATTTGTAAAAGTTTTGATCCTCGACATTATGAGGATATTTCAGCCTATAAGACATGTGTTCTACATACGTCACGTCACTTCTTTAACGGCAGTACTAATGGTCCATGTGATTTTTCCTTTAACTTTTCGTCGGCGAGCCATATTCTGTCCATTTTTACTTTTCCACACAACAGTTACTGGCGGAATATTTGTACAATTAAATGAAGGAATGTCTTGATTTTATGCATACCCAGTTAATGCTTCCTTTTTTTTCTAATGCTGCCAATTTCCGACTGTATTGTTACGATCGTGATCTACCGGTAAAAATGAATATGCGGAATCAAAAACCTGTCGTAGTGCATAGTACAAGATGTGGGAATTTGTTTTTCAGATGTAAAATGGATTTTGCCATGTTGGCGAAGCAGCTAAAAGAAATATTTGATACAGAAGGAACCCCAACAACTGTACGCATTTTTAGTATTGTTTTATCTTCAGACGTTTTGTTATATTTTGTATAAGCATTGCTAAAAATAGTAACAATATGATAATAAATGGAATAAAACGTTAAGGTTGATTGGCAAATAGTGCATCGTATTTTGGAGAATGAAGCATTCCTCAATGCCTTACAGACGGATGTCCACGTGTTTAGTTTTGATCATAATCAATTTCTGAAGAAACTAGGAAGCTACGCAGTGCTAGTAATATCTTTTCTTTTTACAGTCCAGTGATCGGTAGTTTGAAAAATATTAAACAAAAAGTATATTTGTAGGCAGAGAATTACAGTTGCAGAATGAATCTAAAGATTATTTTTCCTTATTTCAAAATGTGTTAGAGAAATTCGTCAAATCATGAGAAAACGAACAACAAACAATAGACATGGGCATTCTTGACAAAATTCACAGCTTACTTTTGCTGTAGTATCTTTATTTGAATTTACTTAATGTAATAGGAAATGGAACAAAATAATGTTGCCATAAAAGCGAAGAAATTCAATCGACGAGCTTTTGAAGCGTTCAAAACTGCTCTGTGGCATTTTATTCATAAAATTGGTAGGTGCAGTTCCGTATGAAGATTTTTATACCTTAGAACAGACCTTATTGGTATGTAAGCAGTACTTTTCATTTTCCATCTTTTTCATGAAAATCACCCAAAAGACCAGATGGATTTACAGACACTCTTGACGTAGTTACTCTCATGGATCACTTACTCAGTCTTTTGCGTTGTACGTCGTCAAGCATACAACAAATTACGGACGATCCGATTGCTCTTTTACATCGAAATTTCGCTGCAGACATCACTGCTTTATTAGCACTGCTATTGGAAAAGAAGTCGATTTTGATTTTGAAGCCTCAGCATTGCTACGGTTAGGATGAAGTTTCACAAAAAAAACTCCTTTAGTTTCCAGTTATCATACGTTAATCCAATGTTTTCCTCCAGGCTTATGGACAAACTGCATACAATTATGTCTACGCTACATTGATATACGTGATTACAATTGTACTCTGCGTACTTGTTCTTGGATTCTTTTGCAAATAGCTTGTGCTGCCAAATATTGTAGTCTCATGTTGCTTGTAGAGGAGATGACTGGAAAAACCGCAGAGATACTGAGGAAATACTTGTAAGTTATCCTTATAAGCCAAAAATCTTTTAATTTTAAACGATGTTTTATCCTCTCCAACCAGTGCAGTGTAATTCCTTATTCCAAAAAATGTTGAAATGCGATAATTTGAATTGCGAAAGTGTCTTTGGATCATCAGTTTATTGCTGACGATTCCTACTGGTAATATATGGAGGATATATTTCATTATTTTTCAGGCTTATCTGTCATACGGGTTATAAGACTTTTATGTTATATGATGATTTATATGTCAATATTCTACGTATTTTTAACGAGCTTTTATTTGAATTCGGAGCTAAAAATTGGAATTTTATGAGCACGGTATGCGGTTATTGAATTATTTTATTATGTTTGGAAGAGTGCCAGTTTCGAATTTTGATGTATTTTATTTTTAAGCAATGTCGAGAACTTTCTGATTTCATTGGTCAAGCATGGGCAAGCAGTATTTCTTTGTGGCAGTCACGGAAATTCGCTGACGAGTTGATATGCTCATTGAATGAGGTAATCACTACAGACATGAATATATGTTTATGCTCAATGGTTTTCAGCAGTTAATTCAATAATTGATTTCTAGTGTGGTTGGAAACTAGGACGTAGCAATCGCACTTAATGGCAAGTCCTTATAATGATTATAGACGGTGGAGTTTTGCACCTATCTCAACAATTTTATCTTTTTAAATAAACGGCCAACTTGATCAAATTTGTTTTGCAGCAGTCCAAATTCATTGAAGCTACATTCATAATACACAACCCGGATTGCCTGTCTGGTTCTCCACCTTTGTCGAATTTAAAGTCTTTATTGAATCTTATTCTGGATGCAGCTGTTAGCTGTATGAATGGGTTATCGATGCTTCACAAAAGTACATATCGGTAACCTTTGAGTCAGACTGTTGCATGCTAGTGATCCGACGTTATTACCGCAAAATTATAAAAATTATGTCAAAACCTTCCTTTCAATCTTTGTTTCTGTTAAGACATTCAAGGCATAGTGAACACAGTAGGGTTAATCTCTTATTACACTAGTTAAGTGATTTTTTTTAAGTGGAAGTGGCAAATATATTTTATATTTTTTGTTTGATTTTTGTTCCAGAATGGGACAAATACAGTTGTTACCGGATGGAGTTGTCAGTTTGTTAGCTAGGGTACTTACTCTTGATGTCGTGCAGAACACTGGTGATTCTTATTTTGGCAATCTACTATTTACGCTAATCCAAGAAAAAGATGAACGATGGTTTGTTCATGTTTTGGCAATATTTGCCTTTTACTGCATTCGATGAAATTTTATTCTTATTTCGATATCGAAATAGTTACAAATATCTCCTTTCAAATTAAGTAGAAATTAAGACTTGACGCTACAGCTTGGTTTACCATAACTTATAATAATTTCTACATTTCTGCGTTAGCGATTGTTTTTTGTTCCAGGTGCCAGCTAATTGAGAAACTTTCTGTTCGATGGAGCCATCGTTTGCCACTCCAAATAAAAAAGGAACTTTTCGTGAATATCGTTCAATCATCGAATGTTGTGCACGGGTAGCAAAATTATTTGGCTTCTTATGAAGTGTTATTAAACTAACTGTGAAATATTTGAATTATTTCTGTACATCTTTTTTGATGATGGGAAATTTTTTTAAACTCGCATTCATATTTTGCTGCATTCTATAAGTGTGATATAAAATATAGGAACTTAAGACCGACGATCCGAAACTTCCTTTGCATTTTTGTTAAAAAGTTTAGTCAATAATTTTTAGGGAGGGAATATTGATATGGTATTTGAGAGCCATAACATCAGTCGCAGAGTCATCTGTTATAGAACTCCTTGGAAAGGAGCACTGTGCATATCTGTGGAAATTTACACTTTCTCTGTTACAGTCACAGTCTCAAAGTATTTCAGAATTAGCAATCCGTTTGCTGCACAAAATCATAATTCCTTGTATGTCATTTTGATTTCATTATATCTAATTCTTTTTTTAGTGATAGAACTCACTTATAAATTTTCGAATTGTAGGTGCGAAGAGGTTAGAGCTGAAGGATACCGAAGTGACGAAAATCATCTGGAGCAACATAAGTCGCTTGAATATCTGCACAGCTGAAGTAGCTTGTCTTTTGGCCCATATGTTGAGTAATTTCGAATTCGATGAATACTTTGAAATCCAGTACATCTTTTTTCCTAACTTTTTGATAATATCAGAAGTTTTTGAAAGTGGTTGTTGTCTAGTGTCCAGTCAATATTTTACGTGGCTTTTTGACGAACATTCAGTATTTAATTCAGGCCCACTGATGAAACTGCAATGGAAGGATGGACTTTCCGGTGTGCAGTACTAAAGTTCATTTTGAAGGCTTCATCGAAATCAGCGAATATTCCAATAAATGCAATTTTAGAAATAATGTGCTTTAAACCGGATTTCCAGCATAAATCAGCCGAACCAGGTGAAGTATTTCTAGGATTCGATGCTAAGATTCAGTTGGTTTGGACAGGGATTCAAATTTTTTTGTGCGAAATTTTTTGACTTGAAGGACCTGAAGAATTCTTTTAATGATTCATATGAAGCCATGTTATTTGTTAAAGTTTACGAACAAAGAATTGAAAAGTTGTGATGTTATTTAACGGGAAATAGAATGTAATGCAGAAATCAAATTATAGAAATCAGCAAATTAGAGCGTTATCTTATGAATCTTTTTGCAATTCGTGTTTCCGAAGCACCATGTCGAGCTACTGTAAAAAAGTATTTTATCCGGGAATTGGTGGATTTTGTTGGAAGTAGTCTTATAGAATTGTGGAGAAATGTAAAGCTGGAAATTGCAGATCCAGAAACACTTCGTGAGTTCTATTATTGGTTATACATGAGCGGTACTAGATTAAAAAATAAACTGATAGCTTTGTATGCGAACTCGTTTTGCTTTTGTAGCTCTCAGTGATAAGGCTTCTCATTAGTCTTTTTTAGGGTCGATATTACAGCTCATAAATACTAGATTTGACATAAATTCTGCAAAGTTGTACGGAAACAAAGTAGGGTTTGTGTAGATATGGAAGTTTTACCTGGCCTGTCGTTGGTTATACCTTAACATTACGTGTCATCATGGTTTGTTTCGCCTTATTGATTCTTCTATTCAGAACAAAATCAAATCAACTTATTTTTGTCAGCGCAAAACTTGTTCTGTTACCTTCATATCTATGGCGCGGCATGTGATCCGCTGTTAAGTGTACTCGAGGTAATCGTTTCAGTTGCTCTTGTTTCAATTTTCTACTTAAAATTATTAGTCAAAATTAAATTATTAGTTTATTTTCATGGTCTTTATAGTTGGTAATTCATATAGGTTATGTTTTCGGACCTTCCACGAATTATCCGTAACGATAAAATGACTCGTGTTGATGAATGGCTGTTGGCATTAGGAGTTGAAGGTAGCTGGCAAGCAGCAGACGAAAGATTAAAAAATACTATTTGTTCGGAGCTAAAAGAAATGATATTGCAACAATTGAGTGACTTTAAATGTAGATTTACTGATAAAAAGGTGATTTTTGATTTTTAAAATTTAAAGTTGTTCTGGTGTTCACTTGTAGTTTTAATTTTCTTTCTTTGGTGTGTATTCTTTTTTATTCTTCACTAATGCAACCATGTTAATATATGTTGAAAGCGAAGAAGACAGTGTTTCTTAAAAAATTATTCAAAAATTCTAAAAGACGCTACGATTGCAAAAACTTCTGAACTTGTAAGATTTCGGTCTAGGACTGGAAAAAGGTATTGTCAAGAAAAATTGATGCAGCATCTGAAATTACGTCGAGCTACGTTCATGAAGCAGTTCACAATTGCAGTTCATTTCGTGAAGCCGCATTTACTATTGAACCATTTATCCAGCATGGCACTATAACGGAAAAGCGGAAATTCATAACCTTGTTGCGGTTAGATTTTCTATTTACAGACATACGAAACAGACATATGGCTCGATTCATTCTCACATGAAAATGATCCATGTTTAACATAATTCTTTATTTGTCCATTAGTTCTCTTTTAACCATCATGAATTTCGAGTTTAATCGGTTGATGTTTTTCCGGGGCTTTAATATTTGTGAGCTTCCAGCACATTTGCGCTAACAATTTTATTACAAGATGAAGAAGACAAATCGGAAAGAAATGTGAATGAGTTTGTTATTGCGGAGATGGTTCTTACATATCTTCCCGTAAGAAATTATCAGTTCCCAGTTACATTTCTTGAATTTTATAAGTTTTTAACTTTTCAACATATTCATTATTTTTGAATTAATATGAATTTAGACGGAAGAATGGAAAGTTTGCGGTGTCTCATTCGATAATTTAACTACGCTGCATAAGTCTTTGCATTGTTCAGTTTGGTTGGATCAAGCAGGTTTGGCAAAATTTGTCATGAAAGCTGATCTCCCAGATGAATTTCGTGCTAACGTTGTCAAAAATATATATATGCCTCCACTAAAGCATAAAATTCATCTCAGAATATTAGCGTTTCTCATCAGCATGGGAACATCATATTTGTATAAGGTATTTGAAGCTATTATTTTTGTCATTTCTAAACATTATTCCACACATTGTGCTTTGCAGAAAATATTAAGTCAGTTATGTTCCTGTGATAGGAGCATGAATTTCTCAGATATAAGGATTATATGCTCTTGGGAATTTCTCTCAGCTAAATGTTTTTGTTGGCTTTGCTTTATCATTAGATAAATGATTTCATCGATTTTTAGCAATTGATAAGGGTTTTCCCAACATTCGATGCAGTAATCAATTTGTTCCTTGAAGCAGCCATTATTTGTTATGCAGTGCAACCCTCATCAAGTAGCAGTTTTCTACCAGCAAATGAGTTGAAGTAAGTTGATATTAAATTATGGGTGAGGAAATATTTCATCCAATTTTCTTTGCAGGAGGTATGAAGTTGTACGGAAGATTTCTGCTAACAAACAGTCATTTCAACGTTACATAAATGGACAAGAAATAAATACGTCACATATAATGTATCTGGACATGCTTTTTCTTGTTCAGGAAAAAGTGTTAGTCTTGATTTGTGTCAATTAGTTGTAAATTTAGTATGTAAAAGAATTCAGAATATCGAACCTTTAGCTCAGAATTGGAATTTGACTAGGTCAGTCCTTCATCTTCTTTAACAAATTGTGCAGAGCTTTGATAGGAAGTTTCAGATTGAACGAATTGTTCGATCGACCAGATTTCAAAAAATCATTTGCTGCTTCTATAACAGTGGATCTATGTGCTTTTTTCATAAAGTTGCGAAAGCTGCTGCAGTGTTGCCGATTCCTGGGATACGAATTTTTAATATTTCGAGCTCTGAAAAATTTCTTGAAATGTGATTTAAGTGCATGCGACATTTCGGTGAAGTTGTTTATCATTGAGAATTGTGCAACACTTTGTGCACTAGTTGCGAGAAGTTGCTTGGCAAGTGCATGGTAACAAAATTTTCAAAGTGATTGTGCTATAATGTATTTAATATACTTACTATACTATTGAATAGATTTCATATGATTTGATATGAGTAACAGCTATCCTTTTAGGAATCCAATTTGATTAATATCATTATCTGTCATCGCTAGCTAATCTCTTTCTTACAAGAAAAAGAAGTGGGAATAATTAAAAGTTAAAAAAGAGCTCTCTCCTTGCAATTTTTTTCTGAGATGAGTTTATATTATTGGTAAGTCTTGGTAAATAGTGAAGAGAGATAAGATTTTAACGAAATTCCTTTGATTTCAATACGTAATTTATTTTTCTAATATTTTTTCAGGATTGAGAATATCAATTGCTTACTGGAGAGCTGGTTTGACCTTTACGGTTTACTGTTGGAGTTGCACTATGATTTAACAATGGAAAAAGCCTATTGTGTTTTTGATGCCTTCATAGATAACCCCTATTGTAGAGAACAGATTATGGCGCGGATTAACATAGAAAATTTTGAAAGGAATCATTTTCGAGTTGGACATTTGCTTGAGGTGAGATGAGTTTATGTATTGGTGTTATTAATAATTTGTGACTTCTTATCAGTTATTATCAAGTCATGTGAAAATTATATGTGTTTTTTCCCGTATTTAATTGGAATAACTAAATATTTAGGAATCCTTCGGTCGTTTCAATTTCTTGCTTTGCAAAACATATTGGAAATGGCTGTATGAGAATTTTGGCAAGCTAAGCGCTGAAGGTAAGCCATATTTTTTGCAATTTGCGTGTTATTAAAATCAATAACCACTGTATTTATCATTTATTTCATAGATATGCCTGAAATGCTGGGTCAGATACTACAAGTTTGGTCTAAATACCCCACTTTGCGGAAGTTTATTGCTCCATGTTTGACTCGTTTCGATTCTTTTTATATGGGCTCATATTATCATGTTTTTCCGATGAATGTTAAGTTCGAGGAATTGATTGCATTGTCTCTGCTTGAAATATTTTTCAACCCTTTGTAAGTTTAAAATTTTGTTATTATTGAATATCTCAAGTATTTTTAAAGTTAAGCTTCTAAAACTATTTTCTATCTTTAGCTTAAGACGAAATTTTTAGTGAGTTATACCCATGTGAAGTCTATTGGTGCGTACGTCAGATCCTATCTAACTCCACTTTTATAATATATGTGAATAATTCATTTATCGATGGCAACGGCATCCAAACGGTCATTGAAGACAAATCGGTGAGTCCTTTCTTTAGCAGAAGAAAGTTTTATAGATGGGAAACTGTCGGAAACTGTTTGCTGTCGACCCCATTTTTTCCCGAAATTTTTGCTAAATATTTCTTGGCAATTATGTTTGTTTCTAAATTTTGACATTTTTCCATAAAATCTACTGATGCTGATAATTTAAGGAAATGTTGCAAAAAACTGGTGATAATGCGGAGGATTTCGTGCTATATTACTTTGAACAGTTTGTCAGCCTTTTGCATTTATCGTACGCCGACAGTTTATTGAAGATTGCGAATCATGTTGTTAGTTGATCAAGTTTCAAGATTTGGAGTTTTATTATATTTTTCGTAAACGTCTGGAATTCTTATAACAGAAGGTTTTTAAATTTACTTTCACAAACTACATCTAGATATCTTATTCGATCTGTGGAGTAAAAATAGAAAGATTTAAGTACATCAAGTCATAATTGCTAGAGCTTTGTTAAGTTGAAACCAATGCCAAATACAACATGGCTAAGGGGGTCGTTTGTGGTTTAATCATCAGAAGGTGATTTAAACCGGATAGATTAACGCTAACGTGAGGTTTGTTCAAAGCTCCATTATGTTTTTGTCCGGTGGATGTCATATCATCACCATTAGATATATTGCCTTAAGTAATGGAGCTACTGTAATGTCCATTACACACCAGCTACAGTCACTCATCTATGCTTTGCAGTGTATTCAAAGCCGGTGAAAATACATATTTCGCCTCATACATTTAATGGTTTTTTTGCAGCCTTCTTTTGCTTTTGCTTTGCTCCCCCATCTTTTCGCCACGGCATACAATGAAGGACATGGCATGTCACAGTTTTGCGTGGATGTGAATTATTTACTTGCTAATTTTCCTGAAAGATTGATCAGAAATGGTAACTTCCAGTTTATAGTCATTATCATTGAAAAGAATTTCTCAAAAATTTAGATGGTCTTCACAACATTTGAAATTTTTCACTGTTTTTTTCTATATTTATCAAAAAATTCTAGATTACCCAGTCGTGGTTGCTATAGTGGCATGTATTCGGCAAGCACATGTAAATTTGGCGTCAGAGTTAGATTTCCGGAAATTACCATTTGATTTATCGAAGTTGTCAAAAGTATGTTTGGAAATTAATATGACGACTGATGCAGATTACTTCCTGCACTGCTACCTTGATCGGTAAATATTACCCATATCCACTACTTTTCGGATCGTAGTTAATATTTTCATGTTTGTTTTGCCTGTCAACTTATCGCAAAAGTTAATTTTTTACTGCATTTTGTGCATGTGTTTATCAGAATGAATAATGATTTGCATCAGATTGTCATGAATAATGAATAAAAAAGCAAAGATATTTTTTCCTTTATTATTCTGCAAAGTTCATTTTTAGTTTAAGCGATCCAATACGGCCAGTTATGCATACTTTGAATGAAAATCACGGATTTTTTGATATGTTCGACGGAAAAGAAAGCATTGACAAGCCGGCCGAATTATTTATGGAAATATTAACGAAAATGGATGATGCAGATTCATTACGTCCACTTTCCCTGCAGATAAAAAATAACAGTCAAGTAAATTTTATTATAATTGGATTATAATCTTCTAGTTTCAAAATGTGGCTTTAGTTGTTATTTAAATTCAGCGGTCTACTAAACTTGTTCTCCCAAATCCCTAAATTTTTAAGTTTTAAGCTAATCACGGATGATAATTATACCGTTCTTCTATAATTACTGACTAATGATTTTAGTGTCATATGATTTTGGCAAAAAATCTATGCGATTGGTCACATTTGGTTGCATTTACATCTACGACTGATTTAAAAAACCTTCGCGCTTTAGCATTTTATTATGCCGGTTTGGATGTTCCATCAGAATTTCAAGAAATGGCTAGCCTTGCTTGTGCTGAACTCCAGCAGTGGGACAGAAGTTTCTTAAAAATGTATGATACCCGTTCATGGATTTGCTGTCGTTTTGGAGATGTGAAATTTTCTTTCAAGTTGTTTTTTTTTGCAGTATTTTATTGTTATCTTTTGAAGATATTCCAAGGAAAACACTGGTTGTCAGATATATTCCATATTGTTCGCTCGGTTAAAAAAGCAATTTGAATTATCGCAGCGGTTGTGTGACACTGCTATGTGAGTCCTTGCATTTGCTATTTTGGTGAGATCTACGGAATAAAATATATCGCTTTCACATGTTGTTAGCAAATCGCTTTCACATGTTGTTAGCAAATCTGCTTTTGCTTATAATGAAGCGGAAAACTTTTTTGTCTTCAGTTTGAAGGATAAACTCAAATATTCTGTTATTCTTGTTATGGCTAAATTTCATTTCAGTAAAATTAAGTGCGATGAAATGGCCAAATCATGGGTTGTATCTCGAGATTTATTACACGACTTAAGCAACTGTTGTGAAGTGAATGATCTGGTCCAGCGAAACGTACCTCCAGTTCGTGGCTCCATATTAAGTTGCCCATGGATAATATGTAAGTATGGGAATGGACGTGTTCCAGCACGAATCCTTACTCCGATGGTTGTTGCTCGAGCTGAGTATCTTTGCAAAAAAAATGCCTGCGAAGTGAGTTGTATAATCTAGTAATTTCTGTTTTTTCCCTTCCGCTTTCCGTAACTTTTTTTTGTTTTTTTTTTTCAGCGCGCTCTTCAAATTATTGAAAAATATCGGGAATTCATGGATACTGATGAGAATTTATATCGCGAATATGACATCACAAAAGCTCGCATTTTGAAAAAATGTGGGTATGAAGAAGCAGCGCGATTACTTCTCTCACAGATTTGTGCTGCGAAGTCAGGCAGCGGTCACTACAACAGCAATTTCTCTGATCTTTTGCTCAAAGCTCGGATGTTATTAGCCGAATTTGATGTTGAAGCGTGTAGGCCGGATTTGGCCATTAGCGCTTTGAAAACGGTACATATTTTTGAAATTAAAACATTCTCTTGCAATTCAATTCCTTATATAGATAAGAGCTTCATATGTATATTATTCTGTCTAATTTTCTTTTTGTATTTTCCGTTATCTCTTCTCAAATGGGTGTTAAAGCCAGACATTTCCAAAATATTGTTCAGACTGTGGAAAACGCATTGAGCAGTGGTTATGAAAACGTTTTGTTGGTAGCAGAAGCTTATAAAACGCTTGCAGTGTATGCTGAAAGGAAACTGTTATCATTGGAGGATTATTGTTCTTCCAAAACATTTAAAGCTAAGGAAAGAGCAATTAAAAAGTGGGAGGGAGAGCTGGAAGCAATAAAGAAAGAAAAGCTTCAGGTTGCAAGGTTCGGTGCACTTTAGTGTTGAACTAATTAGCTTAAGTGATAGTTATATTTAAATATGAGTGGAAATAGAAATTACTGGTTGACGGGATCATCCATCATAGGACCATTCTTAGTGTTCGTAAAACACCAACAGATAGTAAACTCAGTTTGCTTCAACACTTCTCTCCTGTTCTGCTGTCCGCTGCTTGTTCTCTTTGTCTCTGCGTAATTTGATAGCAGTTCGTTTCTTATGCTAATGAGGATTAAAATGATAGTTAAAAGGTGATCACTTGAATGAAACTGAGAAGAGGGAACTTGGGAGGAACAATATTCATAGCTATCAACTTAACAATATTCATAGTTATCAAACGTTCCATAACTTATTTATAGACAAGGAAAAACACTGGAGCAAGAGAAGTTGCTTGAGGAAAAGCGAATTCAAAAAGAAAAGATGTCTGAAGAACAGGAAGTGGAGCAGTATCATAATGACAGAAATATCCTGGTTTCTGAACTTGTTTCTAATTCCAATTAAGTGGCTAGAGCACGGTTCATGAATTTAATGAGAAAATAACTTGGATTATTATTGGTACTAGCTAATGGAAGTTTCATTAAAATTTATTGACCGGGATTTTTGACCAGAAATGTGTTAAATCACTGTTTGATGATTTGAGATCTTGACGGCTCTTGATGCTTATCTAGCAGCCCTAGAACTTGATGCAAGTGCCGCGGATATTCCATATCGAATTTTACCATTTTTCGTTAAAGTCAAATATAACGAGAATTTGTTGGAGCCATTGAAGGTAAGTTCCTCATTAAGGAATGAAAATTGCAGAAGTTTGTTCAGTTAAAATTTTTTTTTCAAAAACTTTGCTGTTCTAAATTGATCATTCTTCGTGTGATATTGAAGTCTGGGCAATTTAATACGGTAGTAGTCTACGCTCCTAAATGTTGTAGACATAATTTTACGAATTTAGCTACGTTTGAATCGATTTCATTCACGTCCTTGGATACCTCTCATAAGTCACTTTTGTACGCATTTCTTCGATGATGCACCTCTGGCTTCAGTTGTGCGGAAGGTGAGATTATTATTATTATTTTTATAAATAATCTCAATTTCAGAATTAGTAGAAAATTTGCAGATGATCTTAGCAGCACTGTTCGACTATCCATACCACGTGCTTCAACATCTGCTCTTTTATACCGACTCAACACATGTGACGGCAGATTCTCAGGTTCTCTCTTGATTTTCCAGTTATGCTTAACAAATTTGCAAAGCCATAAAATTTTCTGACGAATAAATTTTGTAATTCTTCTGTTGTTTAAGGATCAATTACATCGAGTGGAGGATTTATTAAGGGAAGCTTCCACAAAAGATAAATCACTCAAAAATCCAATAGAGATCATGCGAAAGGCGTTTTCTTTATACGTGCAGTTTGCAGCTTCATCTGTCAAAAAGTTTCAGAGTAGGAAATATGCAAGTTAGTTTCCAAGAAATGGCTTTAAATGGTTACTCTGTTATGGCTTTTTCTTTGTTTCAATTTCTATGCACTGTTACAGGATCAACAGCTTCCATTACTGATTCCGTATTGTTAAATGAAATGCAAACTCTTCGAAATGTTCCCATTCCCGCTATCGAACAGCCGGTTAGTTAATTTTAATAAAAAAATTATAAATTTAGGATGTCATTTTCGGTTTGATCTTGAGAAGAAAATGCATTCTTTTTTTAATTGGCGTTTTGTTTCAGTTGACTGACGATTCCTCGCAGCTTATCACTTTTATGAAAATTGAATCAATGGTCACAGTTGCAGATGGTATAACACAACCAACAATAGTTACAGTAATTGGAAGCGATGGAAAAGTTCGCAAATTGATTTTTAAGGTAACTTATCTAGCAAATAACTTCGTTTGTGTTCATTCTACAAATTATTAGTCTATATGAAATGTTCCAGAGCGAAGACTTGCGGCAGGACTCGCTTGTTGAACAGCTTTTTACTGTGGTAAACATTCTATTGATGGATGGAAACAAAACGTTTCCACTACGTACTTATCATGTCATGCCAATTAATTTGAGTGCTGGTATAATCGAGTTTTGCTTGGGGACAATTTCACTTTGTGAGTGCTAGATAAATGGTCTCTTTGGTTTACATATTCTGTTTGGCTAACAAACTCAGCATGGTTAAATACAAATCGCAGCGTATTTTTGATTTCTTTAATTTTAATTTTTTCTTTTTCATCTGTTATGGGAGAGAAGAGTGAAGTTACAAAACCTTAGAACACATAAATTTGAATTAAGTCCTAGCAATGTCTCATATTTTATCACTCCTTACTAAACGATAGTCCGAAATGGCTACAGTTACCAATCAATGAAATTGAATAAAAAATATTAATATAAAAACATAGTGCTGCTGGTCTAGGTAGCTATATTTGTGGTGCGGATCGGAAAAGCGGTATGCGCGAAAAGTTTTATCCTCTTGAAATGACGGCAGCTACTGCATGTTCAAAGCTTTCACAGGCATTTTTTTCCGATTTTGTTCCTATCATTTTTTGATAAATATAAAAGTTTGTTAGTACATGATTTTTAACATGAAGTTACGATACGAATAAATGTAATATGTGCTTATCGCTATTATAGAACTGAGACAATATATGCTTTTCTAAGTTATATTCTATGTGCTTATCCAATGTATTGTTGTTTATGTATAGGCTCGTGCAAATCACTCTAATCTTGTGGAAACTTACAAAGCAATATGTAATGACATTCATCCTGTATTTCGACACTTCTTTTATGGTCGTTTCCCGGATCCATTTGAATGGTTCTGTCGCATCAAAGACTATACAATATCTCTAGCTCGGTGGTCCATAGGTATATTTCTTTACTGTAGTTTACAAGTGTTTCATAGATTTTATCTTTTGGAATGAATATGGTAAACTGCCAACAGTTTTGATGTTTTTTAACGATTATAGTGGGTTATGTAGTTGGTTTGGGTGATCGTCATTTGAATAATATCATGGTTGAAAAAGAAACCGGTCGACTCGTCCACATCGATCTAGGTAGTATTTGATTTCCATCTTATGCTTTATCTATCTGCAGTTTTTTTATCTCTTCGATTTCTTTTTTCTTCATTATTATGAACTTGTTCATTTACCTTGATTCGGATCCTGTGTTTCTTCCTCTGATCGCTTCCCTCCAAGAGTTTCATTTTTCAGAAATATTTTTTGGTCCCATGACTTTTCTGTATGTCCACATGAAATCCTTAATCATTTTAAAACTCTTTTTAATTTGAAGGAATGGTATTTGAATTCGGCAAGCGCAATTTATTAGTACCTGAACGAGTTCCTTTTCGTTTGACAAGAGAAATGGTTGATCCGATTTTGATTGAGGGCGTCAATGGAAAATTTAAGAATGTAGCAGTGGATACTTTGGATCGTTTGCGGAAAGATTCCCAGGTTTTTATTATTATTCGTCATTCAGCTTTCAAAAAATACCAGTGTTATGCAAATATCATTCAAAATAACATCTTCGAAACTTACAGACATTAATTGGTCTGGCACTTGCACTTTTGCACGATCCACTGACAAAATATCGTGGCGAAAATGGGAATCAGTTTGCAGCGCTTGCTATTTGCCGACTTCGTGATAAATTGGCGGGAGTAGAAAATAGAATTTATATGGATCCCTCGCAACAGGTAATCACGTAGGGTGAAAGTAAAATATTTCACAATTATGAAATTTTATTCATACTGACCTAATAGTTATTCACTGCAAACCATACTTTATAATTCAGGCTGTGAGAGCAAAATACCAATCCTTTTCCGATGTAAAATTCCTCATCTCAGAAATTTATGATATTTTTTTCAGGTTTCTCATCTTATTAAAGAGGCCAGTGATCCAGAAAACCTTGCTCGAATGTTTGCTGGTTGGATGCCTTTTCTGTAAAAAAAAAATGCAGTGTTTATTACTGTACAAAATTTTTCGTTGTGTATTTGTATTACTTCATTACGGAACGTGTTTTTTTATTGAAATACTTATTCCCTTTGACACCTATATATTTCTTATCCTTCTAAAGGTGCAACTTTTGGATTTTATTTTTCTATGAAATGATTTGTGAAAGTATGAAAATAGAACTGAGAAGAATATTGTAAACTGTCAATCGGTTCAAGCACAACAAGCAATGCTTGAACTTCCAAGTTTTTTAATTACTGGATAGCTGAATAAGATCATAACATTCTCTTTTGATTACTCAATAGCTGATTATGATCATAAAATTATCTTCAAACTCCGCCATACTCTGAATGATATAAGAGGAAGAATGAACGTTCATGCTTATTAGTAATCGAGTATCAGTATCAGTAATAATATTTATATTGGAAATCTTGTTTAGTCAGCGTGAATCTTTGTAGCTTAACTATAACAAAATGACTCAATTCTGTTTTAACCTAATGCTAAAATTTATCAAATATTGATTTAAAATCAAATTGTGGAACAAAAGCTTTGTAGAAAATTTATCTTACTGATCGTTAAGCCACTGATGATGATATTTATGAAGATTCCATAGCAACCACTGTTAGTGGTGTGACATGCTAAAGTTTTTGAAAACTAAGAAGTTTTGGTGTTCTAAAGTCTTCTATCATTTCTAGTCACCAAACAGAACTCTTCAAATTCGATCTGAAAATAATGGACTTTAAAACAGTTCTCGCCACGAGTATTCGGTAATTTAGTATAGTTGGTGGCTCTCTTCAAAGTTTGCAATGTCGATCACAAATTTTTCTGGTTAACTCATCTTTTCGCAACCAGTACAATTGCCTTCCTAGTTTTCATGCCTTTGGGAATGCGTTTAATCTTTTTCTTTCTTTCGATTAGAACGGCAAATCTGGTTACCGGCAGGAAAAAATTCGTTTCAATTTCGAGGGATTCCATCTAATTCGACATGATCAGTTATTGGCTGACTTCCATCTCAGTTTTCTTGAGTATTCCTGGAGCGAGATCTTTTATTTCACTTCATTGATTATTTTCATCTAATTTCTCAAAGAGGTTGTTTGGATTAGGAAAGCGTTGAGGAGTAATTGCAATAAGCTTGCTCATTTTTGTTTTTCGATTCAAATAAATTACTTGCTGATTTTCTATCATAGCAATGAGCGAGCTTTTTACATCATCTTTGCTAGCTATTTCCAATTGATTACCAATTGCTTATTTTATTACTTTGTTGATTAATACTGCTTTCACGACGCTTAAATTCTAGCTTATGAAATAAGCCTTTTCTGATCCTAATGACTTATTTCATATAAAATTAACTGTTATTATCCGATTTTTAGAGAATGTAATAAAGCTTTATACAGCTGTATCATCTTTCCTACATGCGGCAATAAATTCAATTGGTGCTGTTTTTCCATATAAAATATGTTTTGTGGTAATCGTTACTTCAGTATGGCTTAAACTTGATGAAGAGAGGATGAAAGGTAATGAAGTCATTTTCAGCAGTTTTTCTGTTGTTGTAAATTGCTACCTTTAATGTTTATCAATAGCCAAAAATATTGTTGGTATGCTACGTATATTGTTGGTATGCTAAGAAGTAACAATAAAATTGAAATAACTTGAAACTCTTCGTACTAATAAATTCTAATAAAAAATATTTATAATTTCATTCTTTTAACTTGTTCGAACTATTTCCTTTCCATTATCAATAAATTCTTCTGCTCTTGGGCTATTTATGCAATCACAAAATAACAATTACATTTAAATGAGATCGCAAACTTCATTTGTTTGATAGCCGTTCAGTGTAGATTTTTATATTGGAACTGGGAAGAATCAAGCAATTTCAAGTGCATTATTGATACTTCCTCATTTTCTGCATTCTTCATAAATTTTATGATAGGTTTCGGGATCTCGCAGGAAGTTGATATGATTCTAATTCAATATCTCATTTTTTATTCAAATTATTCGGCAAAGAATATTAACTGAGTTCGACTATTAATAATCTTCAAAAGTATCTCTTTTGGAGAAACTATTAGCACATTCGAAGGAAAAAATCTGCAACATTTTCGAAGAATGCTAGACACTTCTTTTATTCAACTTATTTCCTCCAAATTTGACAAATTTTAATTTCGGAGCAGCTGAAAGAATGAACTAATTAAATAGCACTGATACTGGTTGAAGGAAAAAAATATGATCTTTAACTACATAAGTTATTAGATGATGCGATGAGATTTGATTGACTCCAGATGATCATTAAATTTTCGTTTTTATTGTAAATCAAATCAAACTTCTTACCAATTCAATGTTCGAAGTATCGAGATCGTTTGCTTTGCCCCTTCCCCCCTATCATCTTGCGAAATCAATTCCAATTGACTGTTTGCTTATTTAGGAATGCAAGTGATTCGGCTGAAAAGTATCAATTGCCAGCTAAACAGTTTAGCGTACTTTGATAGGGGAAACCAGCAGTTCTAATATAATGAAATGAAAAGAAATACTTGTATCATTTTTGAGCCAATTTTCATTCTTACTGATCTGATCGCACTTAAGACTCATTTATTTAGCACTAAGAGGAAATAGATGGACAGTTGGTTGAAAATGTAAAGATATAAATATAAACTAAAAATCATAGAACTTTAAACTGAACAAAATCCTGTTCAGTTGTATGTTACTCGCGTGTTTTATCAAAGTGGTTTAAAGCAGTTTTGTAAAAGGATATGAGATGAAAAGTGGTGGCGATCATTTTTCATGAGTACTCTCGACTTGAGAGTCAAATACATCTTTCAAACTACTTTGCTAGGTTCTTTGGGACTTCAGAGCTGATGGAGTTTATAATTTTTTAATTATAAAAAATAGTTATCGTCCCGGAATTGATTTGAATCCTGCCAATGACTATGAAATGTATTTTTTTTAACGTTGAATTTCAATTAAAAAACTAAAACGAACGCGGTACTGGAAACTATGAGCAATGGTTTATTTATAGATGAACATGATTTTCAGCATCTGTTTACTGTAATAATATAATTTACCAATCATAAATTTGGAATGAGTAAAGTAGGAAAAATAATACGAAAAATTTTGTATGTAAATTAACTTCTCCATTTTTTATTATTAACTATTTTGTAGATCCGTTCAAGTGGAAGAGGAGAAAATATGCCGTGCGAAATGAAATATGATATGAAATGATGTTTACTAAACTATATTGTTTATCATAAAATAGTATTTAACATCAGCAGCGAATAAATTTTTTTTACTGAAATAGTAATAGTTTTGGATTTTTCTTTCAAATATATGGTCGCAAGCATAAAAGGCAATAATGTACAATATGAGTGCTGGTAGGAGGAAATAATAAGTGAAAGATAATGGAAATAGTATGTAGGTAATAGATTATTTTCAGGTAGTTGCTATTACCTATATCCTTTTTTTTAACTATCTATCCCATCATTTTTTTTTAACAATTTAGGTATTGTCAACAGTCAATTTTTATTTTGAAATAAACAGCTGCAATTATCAAATTCTAATGACTTATTTAATTCTCTATTAATTGGACTGATAAAAATCCTTCCAATAAAAGGAGAATTTAGAATCCACGTAAGGAAGCAAAACCTAAACAATTAGCAGTAAGTAATATATTTTGTGATATATTCATAAAGTTGCATTTAGACTTAAAAAACTATCAACAGCATCTCATGAAAATCAACGGACTGTCTACTTGTTATTAAACTTCGTGGAGATGTAAACAAATGAAGTTATTTGCTGTTGAAGGCATGTGAAGCCAATCAAAAATGCAATAACATACTAGTAATGAATTTACATCATCAATCCAGAGATAGGCAAACAAAATTTTACAACTGCTAATGGTTATAATTAGCATTTATTGATAGGTGAAGAGTGTATTAGGCAAAGAAGATGCCATTGATGATGAAGTTGGCAAAATAAAAAAAATCTGTAATTGCTAAATAATCCGCTATTGCCATAATTGCTGTTACTGTTGATGCTATCTTACTCTTAACTATATTCCTTAACTAAATTCAAATCTCCATGTTTCATTGAATAGAGAGATGAAAGTGCCCAAAGTGAATGAACTTGGCATTAAATCTGTAAGACAGTAAAAAAATGAAAGGCTACGAACTGTTCGAGATCTAGAGAGTTTACAGTAATTTCTTTTTCAATTTTTTTAAATCCAAACTTTTACTTATGGCAGCACTGAACACATGTAATGAAGTAACTAATTGGAGGATGAAAAATAATGAATAATTAAATTGCGACTGAAAGGTTAGGCATTGCATTAAAGAATTTGTGGCTGAGTATTAAATGAGAGAAGCTGAGAAATAAACTGGCACTTAAAATGTTCTTGTTTAATGGAATATCGGAAAATGATTTGTGGGAAAGCGAAATGCTGCAGCTATGGTGTTTAAAATAATGCTCTTTTGATAATAAATGCAAAATAATGGATCCGATTGCTCCGCCCAAGCTTAAAATGTTTCTGATATTCGATGAGCATTAATTTAAACAACAGATAGTCTGGTACAACTCTAATGAAATAACTACTGTAACCAAGAATGTGCACAAATATCGATCGGCCTGTTCGAGATTTCCCGAAAATTCGTCACCAAATAATGTGGAAAAACTGCCAATGATATGTATGATCTTTAAGAATTTCAACAGTGATCCTGCTAAGCGTAAGCAAAATAACAAAAAAATAAGGAAAAGAACAGAGCAATAATTAGACCAATAATTACTACGATAACTAGCAAAAGTCCATATTAATTATGATTTGGACAAAAAAAGGAAAAAAAATTCGGAATTAATAAATGTTCTTATCAACTATTCTTATCAACTATTCTTATCAAATGTTCTTATCAACTTATCAATAAATGTTCTTGTCAACTGTCTTATCAACATAAACTTATCTGTGATAAAGATGAAAGCGGTGTTTCCTCTGTTTATATACATTTTCACTGGAAAGAGATAATTCTTGAAAATGTCTTTGATAAAGTCAACCGATATAAAGATACATCTCTCTACTCGAATGCATAACTCGAAATATGCAGAAAGATAAACACTGTGACTAAACATTCCATATCATCCATAGTTTTCAGTTTTTTTATTTTACTCAGTTACAGAATATTTTGTGAATTGTAGTTCAGTTCTGAAGAGTCATTTTTATATCCTGAAAATGAATCAAATTTTAAATCCTTAGATTGCTGGAAGAATTAGCGTGCCATGCACTCGATTGAACCAAATTAAAAATTTTTCTTTTAGAAATTTCTCAGAATAAAGCTGGATTTTAATTATTGACATTCTCAACAATGCTGCAAATGCACAAAATGCATTTCCATCGCGTGAATGCAAAAATGCTATTGGTCTTCAAACATAAACTCGAGAAATGTATATACCGAGCTTTATTTACAAATCTACAATCAATCTATTATCTTTTCTGTAACCTAAAATAGAATGCTTCGACGAAGCGAAATCCGGATAAAAGCTCTTATGATCTCTCGCTACGCAAATTTATTAAGAAACTTGCAAATCTACGGAACAGTTTGTAAATCTAAATTTCGAGAATCGCCTATCATTGATATTGCAACACTGAATATTATTATCACCTGTCCACCGATTTTTTCAATTATCCGTGAATGGAGCCACAGACTGTTTAAACGTTATACAAAGAATTTAATTTGATTAAAATGTGAAAAGACTTTTTTTGCTTTTACTTGAAAAAAAGCCATTTTTCTTATTACTTACATACTTGCAAATACATCGATAAGGAGGTATCTACATTTTTGCAGCGATAAATTGTAGGATATTACGATACTGCTACAAAATAAGTTCGTTGCACACGTCAACTGTTCCATAACACATCACAGCAAGAACATGATTACGTTTCAATCAATTACTTTTGCACGGTAGCTATCAAGATATTCTGCTCGACAAATCATTTTGTGGATTTGTCTGTCGATTTATTAGTAATAACAGTAAGATAAAAGCTATAGGCTCATGCAATATAATTAAAGTGATTATTTCGAGGAGACATTGCGTTTTCATCTTTTTTTTTCGTGCAAAGTCTGGAAGATCGCAGTATTTCGCTCCTCACTAGTCGTCACCATACTCTTCATTGAGAAGTTTTCGATGCTCATTACGATGTTTTCGGCCGATTGCACGTAAGTCAACCAAATCAATCTTTAAGAAACCTAACAATAAATCAAGAAAAATTGATAATCAAGAGGAGAGTATAATCGAAATTAGTGTTGCATTTTGGACTTCAAGTAGTCATCAATATAAATTCATTTGTATTCCTTTCAACAGAATCACTAAGACTGTCTGTTTATGCGATACAGTGAAACTCCGCACAATTGCGCCGAGAGATATTCACAATGCCAGGATTTCTCAACCGTTCCAGACACTCTATCCTCATTGTACTGCTCCTACTTCACAGAAATTGTTTAAATTTACTTAAAGTTGGGATAATCTTACTAAGTTTCGTTCACTTGTTGAAAATGATTCATTTAAAATAAATGAGGTCAAAATCACCATTTTTCTCGACGAATTTGGTTTAATTTGTTTTTCCGAATCATTTTGAGCAATCCTTTGATTACTTTTCGAGTCATCATGGTTGCTCTCTTTATTACGATGACTTATCCTACGAGTATTGCGTTTTTCATTGACAAATGGTTTTGGACCTATTAGCTTTCTTCGTACGGCTAGCGAAACCTAAAAAGCACACTTGGATAAAAAATAAAGTGCAGGTCACTTTTTAAAGCAATTAATTGGTCTTGCACCATATTTTCGAATATCTTAATGGAACTGGTGATAGTCCACTCTATCTGAATAGATGCAGTGAAAAAGTGCGTTACGCTCCTACCAGTTTACTTGGTAGTCTTCGCTTAAGCGCCTCATAAAATACGCTTTAAAGAAAAGACAACTTTTGCAATACCTTTCGTAATAATTTATCAGTATGGCTGTGATCATCATTAACAGCTGCAGCAGTAACAGCAGGAATGGGTTCAATATGATATACTGAACTCGGTGAAGTACTGGCTGGACACGTTGTTGTTGAAAAAAATGCATTTGTGGTAGAATTATTTGGATTGCTCCTTGTCCGAACTGCTTCACTGTAGATGCTAGAATTTGATATCTTAGGAAAACCGAACAATTCAATTCATATAATCACTCAGTTTTCAAAATTTTCAAACTGAAGCAAAATTAAGATATCAACGATAAATTTTACAACTCACATATCATACGCCGGATTCATACTAGCAATTTCTGTTCTATCATTAAAATCAGCATCATTTGCATATTCATCAACCACCAAACGTTTAGCGGTCCGTTTGTAGGAATGCTCGTCCAAACGCCTCATCATCATTCGTTGCAGCGCTTCCATATTGCTAATTTTCTTAACCTCCCTTTAGAATATTAAAAACGAAATGAATCAGAAATACCACAAAATCATGATAACTGATCAAAGTGGAGTCTGATCAATTATTATGGTTTTGTAGCATTACACATTAGCAAATCAGGAATAAGTGAATCTGATTTCCAGCAGCATGTCATAGAATTATTTCAGAATTTCACAAGAATAAAAAAACATTTTGTTTTACAGAAATGATTCAGCATCACATCGTTTGGCCCATAT